GTTAGATGTCGAGAACATTAGAGTTAAAGTATGTCATCCATAAAATAAGAGATCGTAAAAAATTACTGATATCTAACCATTGTAGTGATCCATCATCATCACCTTCTTCACGATGTAATATATTTATGAATCACTACTATCACCTGTCAGTGGAACTTTTAAGGTTAGAAGTATCCTTAGGGTACCTTTCTTCTTGAAAGTATCTACGTCTGGGAATTACGTTGAAAACCATACACTACGAGATGAGCAACATGGACATCGAGTCTTTCTATCTCAATTAAATATCCTGGCCAAATCAAGAAAATAATTTGAAGACTTTCTTTGGCATGGAAAGAAGCAACATTTATATAAGATAAATTGACAATGAATGAAAAGTATGTATGTCCATTCTGTAACCTACAAAGAAAGAAAGATTTCAGTGGAACATCTGCATTTTTCCTTTCGCATTCCATACAATGCAAGTTATCCAGAAAATTGGGAAGAGTGGTGACTAAAAACTATCTACAGCATATATGATTAGATTTTCCTTTGAAGAAAATAAACAGGGGATCTTTTACCAAACCATTCTACTCTTAACATATCCCAATGAGCTTTCAAGAATTGAGTAAGCATAATAGTAACAAAGATCACAAGTTTTCCATGAGCATTTTGGCCACTGCACAAACTTGGAAGCTGAGATTCAAGCAAGGTACAGGGGACTTGAGCTTTGTGAACAGAGAAGATTAAATAAGCTATGGGTTGAAGACTTGAAGTTGATTCTAAGGCAGCAATTCTGTTGACCTTATAATTATCTCACAGTGAGACTTGGTGGAACTATTTGAAGATAAAGCCATAGTTTATGGACTCCATTGTTGGAGCCATACCTTGGAGAACACCCAAAGTTCATGGACTCCATTGATGGTACTAAGCCTCTGTTCAATAGGCAAGTCGGGGATTTTTGGACATGTTAAATGGGTGTTCTGTAAAGCCGTGTGTGGGTTCATTTCAAAAAGCCTAGGAAATGCACAATTTCATTAAATGGGTGACAGCAAGACTTGAACTTAAAATATTTTTCTTATCTAATAATATATTAAACCACTTCATCTAAAAGTTGATAAAGGGGTATGTATACCATTTTAATATTATCTTCCAACAATAAGTACATAATCCGAAAGAGCAAACTGATAAATAGTCCCCATCTAGCTTGAGAATAAGCGATTGAAAGTGCTATTGAGGATAAAGTGACATATGAGATGTTTATGTTACTCGTACTCTAAAATAATCTTGCAGGGTGAAATGATACCTGCATAATAATTTTTCTTATCATATTATAGTCAAATTCTTTGGCTTATTATGTTTCAATATCATTCATGCTAGTAACAGCAGTGTACCAACCATGGTAGGAGATTATTCATTGCTGCAGCTTATATGCGGGGAGGTATGGATAAACATATTAAATGTGTATATATATACTTGTATACGAATTTCAGAACACGGGTTGATTTGACTGACTTGAGCATAGGATTAATCTGTTTTGAAAACCCACAAATTATGAACTCCGTCTGTGAAGCTATATCTCTGATCTTGGGGTACGACATAAGGCTTTTGAATTGACAAATGTCCTTTCTGTGGGATCAATTACAGGTCCCCAGCCACGGCTGAGGATACTGTTATTAGCATAATTAGAGACAAAAATAGAGAGGTTAAGTCGAGAGAGGAAGTCATTTCTTGGCGTTAAAAAAAAAAAAAAAGAAAAAAAAAGAAAAAGGGAAATATGCCTTAGTTATTTAGTATCATCTGGAGAAAAAAACTTGATGCATTATTCAGGCTAGTCAAAATCGAGAAAGCTGAACAAAAACATCAAGATTCCTCTGAAAACATGCATATACCACAGCACATACAAAAACCAGAAAGATTTGATCTTTTTATTAAACACAAGTAAACTGATGTCTAGTTCAACAAAACCGAAGATGTTTCACCTTGCCAATTACCACTGCAAATCTGAATCGAATGTTTCAAATATTGTTACATTTCACGCTATGCATCATGAAGGAGACAGAAGAACTACAAATTCACCACTTAATTACCAGCCAAGGAGTTCGCCACATCAATCACAAAACGGTATCTGACATCAGATTTGGCAAGGCGTTCAAAAGCTGTGTTGACATACTCAATACGGATCAGTTCAATGTCTGCATTTATATTGTGCTTCCCGCAGAAGTCTAGCATCTCTTGTGTCTCTTTCATGCCTCCAATGTCACTTCCACCAACAAGCTTCCGTCCTGTAAAAGCAAGATGATCATTAAAATAAACGGTTGAATCAGCACTTCCTTGATTAGACTGCAAAGGCAAAATATTGATCGTAATAAAACGTGAGAAGTCAGATAATTTGAAGATGAGCTTAATATTCCTAAAGCTAATTGGTTGTGTTTAAGGTAAAAAGATTGTATATCTAAAGAGTTTTGAAATATTATCACTTTTCACATTGTTCTCTTCTTACAATCATATTAATTTGAACCCCGCATTATGTCATTCAGCGCTCGAACACATACCAACTTCTGAGCTTTTGTTATTTCTGACCCCTGTTATTCCATTTTCCTTTCATAACTAAATATTGGATCAGTAAGTATTTTTAGAGGGTAAAGGACTTGGAAAAACGAGGCAGAAAGGGAATAATATGTTAGAGTGATGGCTGGAAAAAGAGCATAGATCAACGGTCTATAACATTTTCAGATTCTGTAGATTATTCTTATCTAGTTTAATTAGTTCAAAATCTGTGATAAG